ACTTTCAACTATTCTTGTTGACGCACCATCACTTCCACACGACTTATTATTTCGAAGGTTGTTTATCACATTGGTCGCTTATCTTCGGTAGTTTCACTGTAGAACATTGATCGAGCCAGTGAGGTTGTTGACAGACTTGTGGGCTGTGTTCATGGAGCTTCTTCTCTGCTACTGTAGAAAAATGCCTACCAAATGCGTCGGATGTACTTTCGCTTCTCAGATCTCCAACAGATTCTATATTTAAGATCATTTGATTGGTACAGTTGCTTCGTCTTAGTTCTTTGTTTACAATTTCCCATACCTTCTTCGATTTATTTTCGGCATTTTAAATTAGATGTTCATGATATAGTTTTTTAGTAGTTGTTAGTAGTTTTCTGTGTTTTCTTTTTCTTTGTAGGTAATGTTGTCTTAGTTCGGAGTTATCTTTGTTACTTTGCAGGAGGGTGTGTATTTCCCTCAAGTTTTTACTGGAGGATCTAATTTCCTCCATCATCCAGGCTTTAGTCCGAGTTCTGCTTGAAAATTGCTACTCTTTCTGGACACGTGGTATTAAAATGCCATTAGAAGGTATTGATGAAGTTTTCAAACGCCGTGTCTATCTCTTCATCTTCAGTTATCGACCAGTGTTCTTGAGACAGGTTGGCCTTAAGGTTCTCAAGGTTTTCATTTTTTTATTGTTCTTATCCGACGTGGCTTGCTATTGTCTTTAGTGCATTCGCTGGTTGACGTGATGGAGATCGAGAACATTTGGGCAGTGTGGTCGGATATATGTTTATCAAATACTGTACAAGTGATGAATTGTGGACTGAGATTTGTCGTCATGTAGTCTACTGAAACAAGGTTGAACGAATCTAAAATGTCTTGAAGCAGCTTGGTGTTTATAGTTGGGCGAGAATAGTCAATGTTCGAGAAAGGTTCTTATGTTACCAGATGGCGGACCGTATACACATATTACATATTAGAATTAGGTTCGTTTTTGTGGTTTGCAGAGTAACTATTGGACCATAGCATTCGATGTGTCGTTCTACGGAAAACTTCTTGACATATGGAAGTTCCTTGGTAGTCACGCCTTGTTTCACGAATACAGCACAGCCACCATGAATACATTGGCTTCTGCAGAAAGTTGCTGCGTTTGTATACCCTTAATATTAGCAACACTTGCTGCATCAGACGTCAGCCATGTTTCCGTGAGGCCATAGTACATCAGGTGTTGTCTCATCAAAAAAAACATCGAGTACGTCATATTTGTTCTGTATGCTACATGCATTAAGATCTACTATTTTGGATGTGTTAATTTTTGTGAGGCTGTTCGATGAAAAAATGATTTCTGTACGTCCTTAATTCGTTTCGCTTGACTTGAGATCGACGGTTGTTTCAATGGTGGCAGGAGATGTTGTTCCTTGTTGACCGGATGTATAGAGCTTGTTAAAGATGTTCTCTGCAACATTGGGAATTCCTGTATGACCTGATTGGCTTGACCGTACTGATCGCAGACTTTTTTCTAACAGACAATATCGCGTTCGCAAAGGCGGGATTTTTGAATATTTTATCCGCGTTCAATTTTTTTGAGGTAATGATATCCTTTATTATGTTGCACATCATGTGTTTACCAGCATTATTAAACATGTTTGAGTTTTTCTTGAAGTGGTAATGCTGAAGGCAACTGTCTATATCTAAGAGGTTTGCGTTATTTTCGCTTGCAGTATAACGTATTTGATCATCAATACCTTGAATTATACTATTTAGTACGAGACGTCTGCATTTCCACTGGATCCTGCCAGTATGAGTATATAGTCCAACTTGGTGAAATCAGACGATAGATTTAGTGCGGCCTTCGTTATGTCATGCATCTGGGCATTTGGGCTCAGCATTGCCTCAACTGTTATTTGGTTGAGTGGCAGGATGTTTCAAAAAATATGTACAAGGTTTCGCCCATTGTTCGTCTGCAGGAATTAGTAACTTAGGCTTGCGTAGTTTATTCCTTTTTATATTATTCGGAAATGATTAAAATTTTGGACATACCTCGACTCTTTGCTGGCTTGTGTTTGTTTGTCTGTTTGCTTTGTTAGAGCTGCATCTGTTTGTGTATTTTTGTTAGAAAACAATGTGTTTCCTTTAACTTTCTCAATTAATCCTTTGAGATCCTCTATCGGTTTACCTTTGTTCAGGACTTCGCTATTTAACTTTCAACTTTGCAATGCGATCATACAGATCTTCATTCTTTGCTAATTCTGCTAGCTTATTTCTAAGTTGGCTTGAGACATACGACTCTTTTCTCTGAGCTCGCTCATTTCGTGTATCTCTCTTCAGTGAGTCGTTCGTTCGGAGTCGGTCATTTGAACGATACGATTACCGACCGGCGCCGAAGCTGGCGAGAGTATTGTGTTGCCTATAGTAACGACTCACTGAGTCGGACATTTACATTTACTGCTTTCAATTCAGCAACGAATTCATGGATTGCTATCAGTTTTAGCGGAATGGTCATTTTATCCGTTGGTGGAATTCCCACCGCGTTTTTTTTTTCTCGATTTCAGAACCATTAAATACGAATAAAAAACGCGACAGCAACTTCACGATAGGATAAAAGAAGGATACCGACTGTAATATATTTCAGTAAAAAAGGATGATTATAGGAAACTGCAGGATATGAGATTGTCAATATTAAGAACACATTGATGATCATTAAATACTTTACACTGTGCACAAGTTGAAGAGTGTTTTTTAAAGTACTTCCACACATCACTTTTTCGTAGCATTTCGATTAATAACAATAAAACAGCGACACTACAACTATACAATAAAATAATCAAAAGAACCTGAAATCTTTAAATGCGTAAATGCGCTGTTTTCAGTTTATTTTATTATATCCCTTGGGGAAGTACAGAATAAAGAAAAGACTACAGTCCATGTCACGGCTGTAATGATAATATTATAGAGATACTACTAAACAGGTTTCTGGGCTATCAATTTAGAAGCTACCAGTCGTCGCTTAGAGATGGTAGCACAGTTAAGGATATACTCTGGGTATACAGATGTTTATGATCCTTTCGATGTAGATACATCGATATGTCGTCATAAAACCATCGATGCCTAAACTTCGATGTTCTACCTCCAATGTATCGATGTTTTTGATACATCGATGTATCGTTATCATCCCTAATCATACTATAAAAATGAAATGAAGTGTTAGGGTTGCCGAAGTTATTGTATTTATTTAAGTATTAATATTTTTGGTCGAAATTGAATGTAACGAATGTATACAGTCTTCCGAAAAAAGAAGGAATATGTGGTCCGGTTTTGAGGAATCTGAATCAAAATGCAATTCTTGCTCTCAAATCACATTCTTTCAACGTATAATTTAATGAGACAAAACAAAACAACCGGGATCCTTAGATAGTGTCTGTACTGTTACCACGTTATCAGTTCCCAGTTCAGGTGGTGCATATTGCAGACACGCTTCGCACAATTGAACGAGGCATATGTAACAAAAGAGTAGTTCAATAACCGCTCACTTAGATGAGTCGTTCATTTTGAACGAGTCGTTCGCGAACGACACATGACTATTCCTAAGATCTAACAGCAACTCTTCCTGGGTGTAAGTTTTATCATCCACAGAATTGTCAACTTGTATATGGATATAGCTGCTATTGTGGGATTTGTTGACTTTTTTGCAGTTTTTTTTTCGATTTCGTTTGTTGTGTATTCATTCTTTCAGTAGTTCCGAGAATTTTTGATACACTTGGCAACACCGCAAAGGTATCGTGTCTAAATTTTCTCATATGCTGAGTTTTTGAGGTTATTAACTACAATGTTTTCTTGAACAAAGTTTGCGTTTTTCTTACCGGTTTTTGAGTATCTGCGTACATTTTTGTTTTAAACTACATCCAGTTAACACATTAGAACTGTTTAAAAACAAAACGGAAAATCACTGGTTTTAATTTACGACGTTGTCACTTCCTTCAATCTACTTGACTTCTATTATTATTGGTATTAGATCAATCAAATGTTGTGTTCAGGTTTTATCATCTCTAATAATTTTTATCCATTTACAAGTTCATGGCCAACTAAGGAAATACGTCACTGATTTTGGGACTGAAAGGTCTATTTAAAGGTTGAAAATTCCAATATAGCATCGATACGAACAAACAAAGTTGGTGATGGAGGTCGAAAAAAAATGTCTAATCGAAAATTTGACTACACCATCTTGTAGAGGAGAATAAGTAACAACGACAACATGCAATTTATTTTGAAATCTCATCTCAAATAGTCAGGAAAAAATAAAGATGATTTTGGGATAAATCTGGTATGCAAAACAAATTACCATCTGATAATTCGGCTTTTTTGAATTAACTAAAATTTGGCAATACCAATTGGTGACGTATGATACATTTTTGGCATCCATAAGAAAAAATAAAGTTGATGCTGGAGGACAAGAGACGAAACGTCGTATTGAAATTCTAATTATGCCATCTTGTAGAGGAGAAAAAGTGGCAATGTTAATGAGCAAGTTATTTTGAAATCCCACTACAAATAAAGTATAGATAAAATTAAAACGATTTTGGGAAACTTCGTATTTTTTTTTCGTCTCTCTCCGGAAGTACTTTGAATTTCGAAACTTTCTAAACGGCATTTTGTTGATTTCCTAAAAACACCCAACTTTATCCCCCTTTAAGCGACTTCGTATCTCTTAGTTTCCGAGATCCTAATGGTGATTGTCAAATTTGAAACACTGTGTAGAACTCCAAAGCATTCTGGGCGTGATTGAGTAACAAAAATATAAATTTTCTCGTTTGTGATATTAGTAGTAGGGATTTCTGCAGGCCTCTTGAGTGTTTAAAAATGTTACCTCATTCTTGGTTGGTGCACCCATTTTTTTAATACCCCCTGAACAACTTGCGGGTATGTCAGTAGCGTTCGTGCCGACAAGTCTCTATTATTAACAAAATATCCATGTTTACATGATCTTTTTTCATCGTCTAATTTGCCCTGTTACCTTGCAGGAACACATGGAGCGCCTAGACACCTTAACCTCGCCTTCATCCTCCGTAGGAGGCGGCGACCTGTGCTCGATGGTGGGCGTGCCCACTCGCCAACTAATGGACCTGTATGAGTACAAAGCGGCGGCATTGGCTCAAGCGGAAAGGGCGGCGCTGGCAGCTGCCGAGGCCGCTCACGAGCGCGCCGCCCACATGCAGCACCGGTTGGCGCAGTTCGCCGCCCAGGCGGATCAGGGGATGCGATTGCTGCACAAAGCACAGACGGCACTGGACGCCAGCAGGGCGGACGTCGCTAGGTCGATGAAGGAGGGGGAGAGGAAACAGGATAGGATCGGTGAGTTGTAGAGAAAAAATTGTTTTCCGCGTTTTTTACATGAATTATGGTAGGTGCCTGCGAACTATAACTGCTGGTATGCTTCAAGTGAGATTCTACACAGATATCTTGACATACCTTAGTTGAACGTTTATAAAAAAAACAGGCGCGACGACGCTATGAATAAGTGGAATTGCACTGCGACCCGTTGTTACTTCAGGCAGTTGCTCGGAGTGTGGACAAAAATAATCAGTTTTCTCCAGGTCTTTCTACATTTTTTAAAGAAAACGTATACCTCAAAATTATTTTCATTTAGAGAATCAACATTATTCTGGTTCTGCCTAGGCGAGTCCTGTACAAATAGCTATATTTCCTACTAGCGTTCTGCCTCGCGGTTTTATCCACTGAACCTGTAGGTGGCGCCACTAATAAAGTAACCAAGTTTCTCAAGCATGCAAGTTGGTTGTCAGTTTAGTATTGTCATCAAAGATACAAAACATGATGAGAAATAATAATAATTTATTCACATCAATTACACATTGTGATTTGTTCACAAAAGGAAAATATCCTTGTAGCATTACTTAAAAATAGCTGTGGTCTGTATCGCTAGACGGTCACAGGTTGAATGGATTTTTGGTACTTGCCACTACAGTGGAATACAAAATCGACGTATCGGGTATCAATTAGTAAGTGTACAAATTTTTATGTCTCTCTATATTGTGGTTTAGGAGTCATGCTGACAGACTGGATAAACAATGACATTTATATGTAGAGCAGAAGATACCGGACCACACATATAACAGATTAATGCACCTTACCCGCCTAGCAGCATTAAATAATGTATGACAGAACAATAACTATTTATTCAAAGTACAATATATGTATATAAAGTGGTGAATGAATGATATGATGATATACTTGAAGTGAATCAAAATATAAATCAAGATGATCACGCCCAGAAAACGAATGTCAAAATGCAATAAATTCACGATGCAAATGCCCTATTTATATACCCTTACTGGTTTCGGTCGGACCAGCGACTGAGCGGTTCAGCGCCAGACACCTCATGTCAAATTCCATTAAACCGTTTGAGCTATTGCCCGTGAAATATGTGTTTCAAAGTTACTTCCTGTGATAAAAAGTAGCCTTTGTGTTATTCCAGACTATAAACTGTGTGTATAAGCTTTCATCAAGATCCGTTCAGCCATTTTGGCGTGATTGAGTAACAAACATCCACACTTCTATCACTGCAAACCGTTTTGCCAATCGCAAAACTGGTTCATTAAAACTCAGCTTGCACAGATGTTTGGTACGCCAAAGGATCCAACATCAGATACATTCCACAATTTATCATTTATATTATTATAGATTTTTTGCTCCTTTCCTTCCTTCAGGGATTTTTTTCAATTACAAACTTATTTTAACTTCTTTCAAGATAGACCCGTTCTTATTCGACAACATTTTATATTATAGATTTACTAGAAAAGAATCTGAAGGAATTGGAAAAAGAATTGGAGGCAACCATGAAGCAAATGTCAGACCTAAAAACTACATTAGAAGAACAAAATGCACAGAAAGAACAGATAATAAAGAGGTTGGAAGAGCATTGTAACAAAATGGATAAACAACTTGTGAAAAGGGAAGAACAAATTAAAAATGCCAATAAAAACATCGAGAACATCAATAAGGTGAATAAGAACACTCAAAAATTAATTGACTCTACTAAGTTCTATTTATTTTTCAGCAAAATCAAGAACTTCAGAAGATGCTCAACCAGAAGGAAGCCAAGTTAGCAGACATGACCAAACAGTATTTGGCTACTAAAGAAATTATCAATACTATTACTAAAGTTGCGTCCTCACAAATGCCATAATATTATTTATATTGATTTCTTTTTATTGGTATTTTTTTAGACTACAATTTGTACATATAGTATATAATATTTTTGTCATAAAACGTTTTATACACACATTGGACTTCTACTCTATATACAATAAATATAATTAAATATATAATATTTGGACGTTATAACAATTTCAGTTGAAGAGTTTTTTGAGTTTTTCTTTCTGTACACATTCTTTTTCCTTTACTCGTTTTCCTAAATCAGCTAGCTCCTTTTTCACCGCAGTCGCCAATGTATTATCTAGATCCAAGGCATTATTAAAATCCTTTTTGGCTTCTTCCACATTCCAAACTGCAGAATGAGCCTTTGCTCTTCTGAAATATGCCTTGACATTGTCTAAAAAAGATGTTTCCAATTATTGGACTTTACCATATTTCTCAAATATAACAGCCGAGAATTGTTCTACAAATTACACTTTGAATATTTTGGCTATGGCTATGCATAGGCAGGTTACAGAAAGTATTGCAAGTTTCCTAATATGAACAATTCGACTTACTCGACAAGGTAAAATTGAAAAGCGTGGGGTTGGCGATTAGAAATTGCGAATGAGGGGGGTGGGTCGGCTGCGTGCTCGAGCATCAGTAGCTTAGCGATAAGGCTCTGTTAAAATAGTATCTGAAATAATTGCAAGTGTAAGGAAAATTACCTTTATCAGATTTCAAAACATCAGTGCAATGTTCAATAACAGCATAGTAGTCCCCTTCAAAAAGTTTACATTGTGCATAGTTCAAAAGAATAGGAACTTTTTGCTTATCTAAGTTGGTCCAGTCTGTGTCATAAGGTTTCTCCCTGAGGTAAATGGAAATTATATTGATAAACTTGCAAAAATAGTCCATATTGGTGTAATAGTATTTTTGGTGACTTGGGCAACGCCTTATTTGTTTCTTTTTGTTGTACTTACTTTAGCATGAGTTGCTCTAACATTCCAATGGCCTTAAAATAACATTCTGCAGCTTTTGCATAGTTTTTCTTTTGAAATTCCTTGTTGCCTTGCTCTTTTAGTTTTGGCACCATTTCCAATTTTTCACTGTCTTCCATCTGCCAAGATTCTTTTTCATACTCTTCAGGTTGTTCAACTTTCACCACCTCTTAAAAAAAGTTTAATAAACACCATTTCCATTATACTGTAATATACAGGATGTTCAAAAAATTTCCAACCCTGCCCTATCTTAGAGAATACTATCCAAACAAAAAAGGCCAAGAAAGAATTGCAGGGTTTTGAGAACAATCTAATGGTGACCTTGAGGCAATTTAGAGGTCAATTTGAGAATTTTAAATGGAAAACTATCTTGTCCACACCGATGGAAATAATGGAAAACTCCCAAAATGATATGACATTTAAGGTTATAGTCAAGGTTAGACATATTTCAATCCTGAGAGCACTCTTTTTAAAAAAAAAAAAACATTGAAGAATCAACCTGTTGCAGAAGTATCTTTTGTAAACATGTTTAGGTTATCTTACCCATTGTGAATTCTAGATCAGATGGATTTTTCAACAATTCATTCAGGTCATCATACCCAACTCCCTCATTCTGAAGGGTCATTGCACAACAGTGGTTTTTCTTTCTTTCATCCTTTGGATTGTTGTGATCTCTCAATGTTTTCGATACAAATGGATACTCCATGACTAGCTAAAATTGAAGCCAGAGCTGGGGTAATGAAAATAGTAGCTCATAAAATGGGTGGTACTTAAAAACACTGTCACCTATGATTAATCGTCACAGTGGCATATCCAGAGAACAGTTCTGGGAGGCTCAGCATTCATGAGCATCTTGCGAGGGGGGTTATGGGTAGTTAAAAATTGAACAGTGAGGAGGGGGGCGTCTGCAGCATCAGAGCTTATGAGAGCGAATGCCCTTATGACAATTGAGGAGCGGGAAAGAACGTCACAAACAGAGTTGCTTTTTTTATCACAATCGGTATTTAAATCAAACTTGATTTTTTTCATAAAAGTTCATTTGTTCCTAATCTATATACTTCGAAGTTGAGTCATTTATTTTAACAGTGAATAGATCTGATCAAAAGAAATGTTTTTTTCCTTTACCATTTTTCTGGTAAAATTAAAGTAACAAAGTTATAGCCCTTTGGAAGTTTGAGTACCGCCCTGTCTCAATATCTTGTGCTCGTGTTTGGCAACAACGGATATAATCCGCCTTACCGGTTCATCGCATCGGAAACAAAAAAGCGAAAGAATTTGGAACGATGTTTGTGTACAGTTTATTATTTTATTCAGTTCAGTTATACATACAGTCAGTGTCAGTGTCGCGTGTGAATAGTGTCTGTTGCGTGGCTCAAACGAAATAAAAAATGGCACATGTTTATGCGGATCGGTTTCCCAATCGAGTGCAACCAACCCCTCGTGCCTTTGTTAATGTAGTACAACGGGCTCGTGAATCAGGTGACTTAAGACCTCACAGGGGACCTCACGATCAAATACAGGTCCGCACTGAAATACTTCTCGGGAGGATACTTTATAAAACAAGGTAAAATTTTTTTTTTATTTTTACACACATATTTTGGTTTATCTTCTTTCTACAATCATTATCTGAAAATTAATGACTCAACTTCAAACTCACCCTGTATAAACGACTTGCAGAATACACCCCAAAATGCCTCACTGGCAATACGCATATGATACAACAATAGCAAGAAATGGTAGAAACTTAGAGGGTTTGTTGGAGTCTGGACACCAAGAAGACGTGAGACTCGCAGATTGGTTCGCGGCAAAATGTTATCTCTGAATGCTGAAAAAACTGTCAACATTACATTTAGCCTTTTAGAAATCTCTGAGGGTAATCAAGAATTATTGGTGAGTTTTCTAGGGGTGTGCTTAGACCCTACATTAATATTTGATAAACATATAGAAAAGTTGTCAATTGGACATTCTTAGAGTATTTTCTTACTTCAGAACCTTAAAAAATCCTTCCTTTTGAAATACTAATTTCAAGTAGCTGCAACATACACAATATTAACCTGGGGGCATCCTATGAGTATGACCAGAATATTTGCTCTACAATGTAAAACTGATGATTACCTCTGACTTTCATGAATATAACAGGCATAAAAAAGGCAAATAAGAACTGGCTTTATGAGACTCCGAGGGAGTCCATTGTCTGTGAACTCAATGTTGTTCAATAAATTATCTAAAACATCAAAAATCTGAATCTATGATGCTGGTATCCGAATTTTAATGTGTTTCTGTACTCTAATGTACTCTTATTTTAAAGTCTAGCATTTAAAAGTTGCATTTGCACTCATTTAAATACATTTCTGTATTTGTTGACCTGAGGGATAATGTTTCAAATACTTGGAAATAAATTGACTGATTGATTAATTGATTGGAGTATTGCTAATGCAAAACAATAGTATTGTTAGGGGGTTGTCTGTTAATAAAGTCAAAATCTACCATTTACAGTGAATATTAAGTCAAATTTATAATAATGAATTAAAAAAAATCATAATTTATGTAATTCATTTAAAAAAAAATTGTCGGGAACAAAAAAATCATGTTTATCAAACATAGTCGATCTGAATCCGCCCAGGAGGATTAAACTTCCTGTTGAATAATAATAAGTTAGTGCATAAAATATTGTGTTGAGTTATCTTTAACAGAAGCTGTCAAAAGATACAATGGCTGATGTGAATAACACTTGACTTTAACTCCGAGTATGTACTCATGAGCGTCAAGTGCTAGTTTGTTCTCCTTTTCATATGAATAAAAATATTTCGCTGAGTGGAGTATCTGCTCCTAGCACATAAAGTAGATACTCGTCCAAACAAGTCTGCGCCGTGAAAAAACAAGAATAAACAAGTGCCGCGTTCCGCATATTCGTGTAGTATACAGTCAATCAGCGTGCAAAGAGTGAAAGTGAAGAAGAGACTGATAAAGCCTGCGAATCCCAAATGGGATTTGTAAATATGCTACTTTATTTTCCCATACTTTTATCCAAGTCACAAACACCAGCTGTCCGACGGAAAAAATTCAAGCAGTAGAACTGATCAAAAAACAGTGGACACTGAATGTACAAAAAAATTAATAATATGAAATCCAGACTCAAGAAAAAGACTGACATAAACAGGACTGGAAATAAAATTGTGCTGCAGGATTGGGAAAAGATTTTGTTGGAAATCATGGAAGGCAACACAAATTCAGTACTTGCAAAAGTTCCAAGTAAATTAATTAAAAGCTTCTTCATAAATAACTTTATTTAAATTTACATAATATTAGTAAACCTATCTAAAATTTTATTATTATTACTATTATTTGTTATTGTTTAACATTATTTGATGAAGTCTTTTATACAGACATTTTTGTAGCTTAGAAACAAAAAAAGGTTAAAAATATTATCTATGAAACTTTATCACTTATCCATTTTTTAACGTAGACTCTGAATGAATGTTTACTTAATTTTTCATTTTAGGAGCATTATCTGTCGGCATACAAGAAACAGAGACGAAGATCAGCCTTGAAGATTCAATCCCTAGGCAATCAACTTCTGCTTCTGAAACGAGTGCAGAAAATGATGATGCAATTAGTACAGTACAACAGGAACCTAAAAAAAGAAACACAATAAAGTTAGTCCTCTTGAAGAATATGAAACAAACATTACTAAACAACTCTCGAATAAAGAACTACAAACACTAGTTTTCCTGAAACACCTGAGAGTTTTAGAAATGAAAGAGGAAAACTCAAAAGACAGCTAAACAGAGATGTTGATGAACAATCTAATTCACGCAATGATAATATCATTCACGCTGACGATGGACAAGCATATTTCAAATTAAAATGTTTCAATACATTTTAGAATCACTTACGAAATAAAGAATTGTAACATGTGACAAAAAGATTTTTCTACAGTGTTAATAATAAAAATGATAAGTTTGTTCTACATTTTACTTACTTGAAGCAAGAGCAAGAATGACATCTGCTAACTCAGATCGCCTCTGTTGTACCCTTCTTCTAACATTATTTTTGTCCACCTCCTCTTCTGCCAGATATGCAAGTGTGATATCTTCTGGGAGCTCCATAAGGTCTAGCTCATCTTTTAAATATTTTGCTATATTGTGTAATATACCAATTTTGGAACATTTGCTATGGATACCTGCACTTTATATTGTAACATTGGAAATTGATGTTTTAGTTGAACAAAACATATTTCAGTTATGACATGTTCTTTTGTAAACATATTATTATAAGCACGTTCTTGTGGTGTATTAGGATTTTTAAAAGGTACCACCGACCTATGAAAATCGTACCTCGCAATATTTAAAATTTGTGAAATGCTCCAAATCTTTGAATCGTGAACAGATATTAGCCATGAAGCTTCTACACTTGTAAACCACTCATCTGAATTGCATGTGGCTTGTACATTAATGCTGTGATATCATTTGTGATTAATATATTCATTACTATGAATAGGTGGCTTTTTTATTTTTATGTCAGTACAGTCTATCACGCCTCTCTTATGTCGGCAGCAGTGTGAGGAAATTTTATCCACAGTCCACATTTTTCTATTAACTTCTCAGTAACTTCCATGGTCCTGAGCCAGCTCTAGGAGTAACCGCGCATAAAGCTAGGAGGAAAATGGAGACGTGGGTTGCAAGACAACACTCTCAGAAATGGAGAAGTATCTCTAGACATTTCCGCCAGGCACGAGAGCTCATTGAAGGGCCTAGTGCTATGGATGGACGCTTCTGCCTATCTCTGGGTAGAGCCAACCTAAGGTTGCTGGTGGGACTGTTGTCTGGCCATAACACGTTAAGGCGACACCTGCACGTGATGGGGGTGGCTGAGGATCCCTTGTGCGAACGCTGCGGAGTAGAGGAAGAGACCTCGGCGCACGTTTTGTGTCGCTGTGAAGCTCTGAGCTACTATAGGCAGACTATACTGGGGTCCATTACTTTGGACCCTCAGGACGTAAAGGAGCTTGGACTCAAGGCGATTCTCAACTTCGCTAAAAGGGCGAGGCTTGTGATTTAAGTATTGTAGAGGTGCATAAGGGCCCGCTTAAGCGGCCTATGCACTGGCTCCTTATGGTGACCGGGATGCCTCTAAAATTCAAGATTCATTCATTCATTCAACTTCCATCACTACTTTTGAAACAGAACTTTTTTGAACACAAACATCTCCTCCTACTCCTGATTGGAAACCTGGATCACCAACGTATCAAAAATATTCTCATTATATCAATATTACATATAGCACCACCTCTTCTTTCTCCAGATTCTGTACACAAAAAGTGATTTGATATCCACTCTAGGTTCTCTGGTAAATCGATACAACACTTTAAAATCATGATCACAAGAATATCTTCTAGCTCTACCGTAGTCACATTCTCCTTCCAAGAACATGAACAAATTTTTATTCATAGGAAAACTGAGAATGAACTCGCAACAAATTATACATAAGAGTACCTACACATCTGCTTGAGTAGATACTAAATGCTCATTTTTATTCATAGGACCCAATAACTCACACTTTTATCAACTTTAAAGGAGGCAACTTCATTGATAGCCATTTTCTGCAGGATGGCTTCCCACACTTCTAACTGGAACTTTTTCCCCAATACTAAGTACAAGGGTTCGCCCTTGCCCATTTTTCTTGAATCATCTATCATAGTTTGTTCGTTATCGCATAATTTTGATTGAAAATGGAAATGAATCTGCAACTTGAACCTGTTAATGCAAATATCTCTTATTGAAAATAATGTAGAATATACCTTGGTACCATCTCGGAAATCTGGTGTTTTACTACCTGCATAAATTGTCCTTTTTACAATTAGGTCTTTTCCTTCAGACATGTCTTAGTTTTTAATTACAATACAATTAGAAATTCTTTGTTTTGTTGTCCTTTTCAATCTGTCAAAACAATCAACAGGCAATTTGTTTTTTCTTATGCCTGTTCCAATCACATTACGAGCAAACTGTAATTAATGTTCCATTGATAAAAACCGCCAATTCTGCTAAGATACTTACAGCCACAAAGCACATACGACTGAAGAAGTAGGAGCTGCACGTTAAGCAATGGCAACCGCGTTGACGTTTATCAGATGGTTGCGCCGGGAGATCTTGAACTATTCAAAGAATGCGCCTGGAATAAGGAATGCTAATAAGAGATATTAAGGAACCATTATCAAATAAGGACTATTTTGAGATTTATAACCTTCTGATATTTTTTCCTCAACTTGGTAGCGATGACCTCCTGACACATGGATTTCTTCTAGCACCTCCGGGATCCGACATCTGGGGATAACGATTTGTCGTCTTTCCTCTTTGTCGACGTGGTCTACCATTTTACGCAGTACGAGTCCGTCGTCCATAACGAGAGAATTCCATTGTGCCCAATATGATTTTGTGATAGGAGAATACTTGGTAACTTCTTCCCAGGCTGGTTTCCGTTGTTATTTCATCCAGTTTAGAATTATTTGGAGATCGGGGTCTCCCTCTTGATCTTTACTGAGGTCTTCAATTTGCCAAGTTATCACTAACGATAGTGGTTCTTAATACTTTGGCGTCTTTCTCCTCTGACCGCTGGCAATGCTTACAATCCTCTAAACAGGATCTCCTCGATAAGGCATCTGCATTTCCATGGATTTTTACCGTTCGATGTCCAATGTTGAAGTCAAACTCTTGTAGCCTCTCTATCCATCTTGCACCTTGAACCTCTGGTTTCTTAAACTGGAGAAGCCATAAGCTGCATGATCGGTCTGGAGTAAGAATTTTCTGCCATAGAGGTATTTGTAGAAATGTTCCATTGCCTTTACGACGGCCACCAACTCCCTCCGGGTAACGGAATAGTTACGCTCTGGTTTGTACAGTATTTTGCTAAATTACCCAAGACCTTCTCTTCTTTGCCTTGTTGGACTTGAGATAATACAGCACCTATAACCACATTGCTAGCATCAGTGTCTAACACAAACTTTCCTTCTGGCAGCGGATAGCTGAGTATATAGGCGGTTGTTAAAGCTTCTTTAAGTGGGTAAAAGCTTGTTGGTAATCCTGATCTCATTGGAATTTGCATTGCCCTTCTGTCTGGTTTTTCTCCTTGTCGACCGCGACTCCCTGACTGGAAACAACATGGCCAAGATACTGCACAGCTCTTTGAAACAGGCGGCATTTCGTTTGCTCAATTTCAAGCCAGAACCTCGTAGCCTTAAGAAAACTTCCTCTAGGTTCTTCATGTGGTCCCCAAATGAATTTCCCACCACGATAATGTCATCAAGGTAAGCCAGGGACGTTTTCCAGGTTAGTCCTCTTAGAATTGGTTCAAAGGTGGCAGGAGCATTGCACAGGCCGAATGGCATCACATTAAACTGCCATAATCCGGTGATCACCGTGAATGCTGTCTTCTCCCGATCTTCTATGTATTAGATGTTTCAGTTTCTTTCTTTGGTCTGGCCTTAGATCTGTGCCTGATGACTATATTAGCTCTTCCAGTTCCTTAGGAATGACCCATGAGTTTTCCACAGCTGGCAGATTTCGAATGATTGCAGAAACTGGACAGCAGCGTCCCAGATCCGAGCCCTTCTTCAATGACACAGGGTAATGACCGACATTCATTAATCTCACAGGAATAGTTTTATCGGCACGCACCAGGCCTTTGCAACTGCTATCCCTCGGCCAATAGCCTCGTCATGCATCCTAGGTTCAAACATGACTATTTCTCCGTCTGTAGTCTGACCCTCTACCGAGCCAGTCAAAATAACTTCTCTTCGTTCTGGGATCACGGTGTCTTCGAGCAATAGAACTCGTACGTTTCCATTCCTTTCCCGATGTAAAATGACCTCCTCATTGTTAACTACCAAGATTCCTTGCTTATAGTTCAACTCGAAGCCCTTTGTGCCCTTGATGTCCATTTCGATGATTACCTCGTCCTCAAAATCACCTACTATCGCCGGATGTTGTAGCTTTTCCTATTTCAAATGCGATGTTTACTTCACCGTACACGTTTGCTCGGTGTCCCGTCGCCGTTCGTAGTCGCCATTTTCATGGTCGAATCTTCGCCGATGCTTTCACCATGTCGGGCTTTATGATAGTCTTTGTCGCACCTGTATCCAGCAGTACAGTGTGGAGAGTCTCATCCACAAAAGCATCGACAAAAACATTATTAGACTGATGTTTTAGCGAGGAGACTTGGACGGTATTAACTGATTGGGCTTGTTGGCTACATGTCGACGATACCCCCTTCACATCGACCTCCCTTAGATTGGCCGGATGAGGACTAGCACCTTCAGGACAGCGTCTCCTAACGTGCCCTATTTTCCCACATTTCCAACATTCCAACTTGCTGTTCTGGCGGCGCTGTTCACCATCAAGTTCCTTAACAATACGCTTGACGGATTCTTCGAACTCGTTATCTCCTGGTACCATCTGGCGGACACGGACCTGGCTTTTGTTTGTGTTTTTAGCGGCTTGCTTCGAATTCTAAGGCCCGAGTTAGCACATCTACTAGCTTAGGTGGATGTGCTAGTAGTAAGGCTTGCCTCATTTCACCATCACGAAGTCCATCCAGGAACGCTTGGACTGTCAATCGCTCCATTATCCTTTCCTGAACATTGGGGTATGCCAATCGTACCAACCGCGCAATATCCGCTTCGAACTACCGCAAGGACTGGCCTGACTTCTGGAACCGCTTCTTTGGTTGAGTATGGTAGACATGTTCTAACTGTGACTGGCCATATCGCATCTCCAAATTTCCTTCTAATTATTCGTAGACCTCTTGCTCTTCGGGTGATATTATTTGAAGAATAGCTGTAGCATCTCCTCGTAGGGCCAAAGTGAGTGCAGTTGCTTATGGGATATCAATTATTAGAAAGGCAATTCGGAAATTTGAAAATATACAAAGTACACATTGTATTAATGTTTTTATATTAAAAAATCCTATTATGTTGAATGGATTGAAACATGCTGCTACTTTATGAGAAGAATTATTAAAAACAAAAATCAGAAATTTGAGAATATACAAGGTACACACTACTCACAAGATTGAAGCTAACAATAAGTTCCTATACTTATTTCTTATTTTATACAAGCTAGTTTGTTCGGAAGTAGGCAATTGCCAAGGCGCCTAGATCCGGGGTAGTGCTTAGAACAATGTGTGTGTTCCAGCAAAAACTGCCTTTCGATTTTTTTAAATAATTAAAAGCTATAACATATGAATCAAATAAGGTTTTTAGTGTTTATCCGACATCATTGAACACAAAATCGGAAACGGATGTCCAATGATTTATGTTGTATATGAGATTAAACAATTAGCTATAGGTCAGTAAAGGTTTGGCTAAATTAGTATATTCTAAACGTTTCACGTTTGAGAAAAATGTATGGAATAATTACAGAAAAATGTATGAGATTTTTTCGTAGTGAACCGGAGCGGGAACAGATGGAATTTCCCCTTCCTCTCGCATGTTGTGCAAAATGTTTGCTTTAAGCTCCTTGATAAACTTAGCTGCCTTGTTTGAATCGGAAATAACAAGACCGATCGTTTTTTGTGCAATGTACATATATATCAATAAAATCAATCATTTGATATGACAAGTGCGGTTCATATATCTTCGATGACGTTCTCCTTCGTCATTTAAAATCAGATGGACGTGTTCCTCCATTTATGATTTAATAATTTAACTTAATTTTCGGCACTGCGAAGACAAATTTTCAATTGAGATGACTGTTTTTTAAATGAAATTGACATAATACCTGTCACCCGCTAGTACCTCACAGACCTTAGGCGGGTACCCGTACCACGTGACTTTTTGACATTCGGACGACGTCACATCGGTCTTCCCCTATTCCCGTTCTTCGCGAAAATTTGAGTATCGGTTCCCGGTAGTGCACTATGCTACACCGTGGACTCGCGAAAAAATCCTTATAGCTTGGTAACATCGCAACCATTTGCACCTAGTTAAAAGGACCATAACGAAATGAAAATGGTATTTACCATTTTGGGTTGGTATTTACCGATCCGTTCAAGCGAGTGTGGTTATCAGTTTGGTTATGAGACCCGTGACGTCATGAATCAGCTGTTATATGTCACAGTTATCACCGCAAAATTGTGGTATTTACCCAACTCAGGAGTAGTTTTATATTTCTGGTTATTATTTGAAATGTGACAAGTTAGAATTTTGCCGGGTATTGGATATTGTTATTGTACTTCAGCTTCATTTTTGGGAAACTTGATACAGGCTGACTTCAGTGTTAGCATAAAGTGGAGCCTTATTACTTATACTCATTACTGTTGTTGGGAACACTTTCAATCTAGTTCCTATGTTTAACAAAGTATCCTGTGTAGCTATATACCACAAGAATATTAAAATATGTCCATATAAACTCACTGGATAATGTCCACCAGTATACGGTTTTTCCTATCATTTCTGCTAAATAATAATAATAATAAATGGGCTTTATTTCGTACCTAAGTAAAAGTACAAAGAAGTCGAAGTGTCGCTAAGATTAGCGTTTTTCAACTTAACCTTAACCTTAACAAAAAAATATATATATAATAAAACATTCCACCAACAGGACCATTTAACTCACTGGATGATGTCCAGCTGTATACGGTTTTGCTAATATCTTTTTTCATCGGTTTTTCATCAGTTCTGCTAAATCAATAAATGTTTTCTTTGACATGCGGAAAACTTTCGAGAATTGAAGGTTATCATAGCTACAAAACCATGGTTCCATCAATAAAAATAATTTCCTAAAAAAAAAAACATTTCTCCCACGAATATTATGAAAGGTTTCTTATTTAAGCTTTCCATACACCGTTGTAGACAAAAAAGCACCGATTATTAAGTGATAATAAAAATAATCAGAGATTATATACGCACTTTTCTAAAATAAACAACTTGTAACAAAACCGCGGTTAAAACCAACGCGTTCAAGCGATTCGTGTAACATGTCGTCATCAACCAGTGTGTCATGTTGAACCATATTATAACCGCGGCACTTAACACAGAAATATTGGTTATTCGCTTGGATTTGATTCATCTGTTCTGTTTTTTTTTCCAATGGAACAGAGATCTGTCACACTTGCATTCTATAAACATAACCTCACTTCCTGTAACGTCTAACGTGGTACCGTGGTAGTCTTACATTGTGGTTTTACCCAAATATGTTGGAAAGGTTGAAGATAATTGTTTGAAAAATGGGGCGAAAACACAATAACCAACTACCTGAGAACCTGCCGCAGCTACAAAATCTCATCAAAAGAGACCCGCAATCCTACTATGAAGAATTCATGCAGCAATATCAGCATCTACAAAACACCATCAAGGTGTTCTATTTTTCCCCGCAGGCTCCAAATAAGACCCTGGAAGATTTGATGATGTTTATGGCTCAAATAGCTCACTGTTATCCCAAAGAATTAAAAACCTTCCCAGAACAAGTTGGAAGTATACTACAGAAGTACAGTACCATTCTAGATAGCAACACTCGTATGACACTATGCAAAGCTCTAGTGCTCCTGAGAAATAAAAATCTGATAAGCCCTACTGATATTTTAGAGCTTTTCTTCAATTTACTGAAATGTCAAGATAGACCTTTGAGAAAATTCCTAGAGAATCATCTCATAACAGACATTAAAAATTTAAATGCAAAGCACAAGAATGATAAGTTGAATACAACTCTCCAAAACTACATGTATATGGTCCTGGGGGGAGATACTAAAGCAGCAAAGATTGCTTTAGACATTATGGTGGAGTTGTATAAGAAAAACATATGGAATGATGCAAGAACTGTGAATGTTATAGGGAAAGTTGGATGTTTTTCTAAGAATACCAAGGTAATATTTTATTCCTTTAATCTATCAAAAACATACTACATAACTTTCTAGCCATTAAAATCAAGATTTCCATTTCCCATGTCTTTTTACAACATATACTTTAGTAGCTGTTAAAGAATTGCTTCTGTTTTAGATATTGGTAGGCTCATTGAAATTTTTTCTTGGTAAAGACCCTGAAGAAGAGTCTGAAAATTCTGATTCTGAAAACGAAATAGATCCTAAAGAAGTCATGATGGCAAATAAGGTGAATAAGAAGACAAGAAAAAGAGAAAAGCAGTTAACCAAGGCAAAGAAACTTGCTGCTAAGGCCTACAAGAAGAAATCTGCAGCACCCAGTTTTAACTTTTCTGCCTTGCATCTTATCCATGATCCACAAGGTACTTATAAAGGAGAATTAATTAAAGATAAATGCTTTTCTGCATGCATTTGTCTAGTCAACCATGTACAGTGCTGTTTTATGCTTCTTGGCAATCATCAGCACCACTATCTAAGTAGAACATCAAATAAATAGAGTAGAAGTATCTTCTACCAAAACACTATCAAAATACAACACCACAAATCCCATCTATTACCAGAGCTTTCACATTGGTTGAGTCTTGCAATAGATGGCATGTTTCTGTTCATCAAGTGTTTGATACTGACAGTATAATCCAAGCAATCACGTACCTTTTGTTAGCTGAGTTGAACTCTCTTTAAAGTTAATCCTGGTTCTTTATTATGAGAACTATCAATATGATCGCTATAAAACTAGCCCTGAATTAATTATTCAAAATTTATCAGTTATACTTCTCAACCCAGAAAAAGCATGTAACTAGGGCCATGTTGAATCTTGAGATGAAGTTGTCATATACTAACAGATATACATCTGCACTAGGTATGGCAGAAAAACTATTTCAACAATTGGAAATGACCAACAAGAGATTTGAAGTCAAGTTGATGACATTAGACGTGATTTCACGTCTCATAGGGCTTCACAATTTGTTCCTCTTCAACTTCTACCCTTACATCCTAAGGTTCTTGCAGCCTCATCAGCGTGAAGTCACAAGGTAAATTAAAATGTTTCAAATTCATACTATTCATACGTGTTTTAAGTGAGTATACACTTATATAAAGTTACGTAAAATATAAACATGTGGATACAAACATACATATTTACGAGTATTCAGTAACAAAGGAAGTAATTTTCAACTGTACACGTTTTGCATTGTTCCTATTTTTGGCAGCAATATCCCTCCAACGTTTGATAAGTAGCACATCACCTGCTGTCACATTTTCTTGTTTTTCAACGTAAGTCAACTCCATTTGTAGAGCTTGTAATCCCTCAGAATGTGATATTGTGGCAGAGATTTCTGTCTCATTGTCACTAGCATCACTTAAAACTTTCTCATCGCCATTGTTTTTATTAGTTCTGTATCAGTTAATTCTTCCACCAATTCATCACCATTAATCCACTCACCAACATCTGCTTGGGTCAGATTGTCACACCTAGCTATTTTTACGATGAGCTCATGTAAAGTTTCGTTACTATTCTCATATTATTCGCAAGGTTCCATTTCTTGCTTGATTATTGTTGACCAAGATTTTTGTAAAATAGAATTTTTTACTTGGCTCCATGCTTCTGGTATCCAATATGCCACATTCTTAAAGTTAATCTCTTTTAAACAATCAACAAGGTTACAAACATCATCTTGATCTAGTATATTTGCTCTAATAACAAACGTCTGTAATTGTGTTTTAAATTTTATAAATCTCTTTGATCCATTGGCTGAATCAGTGAATTTACATTAGGAGGCAAAAACATCACTTGTATTTCTCTACTTTCAAGTTGCTCCTCACTTGGGTGGCTCGGAGCATCGTCTAATAGCAAAATACATTTTCTCGGATACAAAATGATTGTAAAACCAGTTCTTAAATAGAAAGGCATCCATCCAGGCATTTTTTTAATTTTTATACTACACTGGAAGAGCGTTGGCACGGACGTGCTTAAATGCTTTTAGTTTCGCTGATTCTCCGATTAACAACAAAGGAAGTTTGTGTAAACTGGAAGCATTGCTACAAGGAAGGATAGTCACACGTTTTTTTACTGCGTTTGTAACCAGGAGCTCCAGATTCTTGTTTTGAAGCTAAACTTTTCGCTGGTAACATTTTATAGTTTAGGCCCGTTTTGTCGCAGTTGTAAATTTGTTCTGGACTTAACCATACTGCTTCATTAATTCTTTACCATGTTCTCCAAATTCTAATGCAGCAGACTTATCGGCAGATAACTTCTCTCCGGAAACTTTTAATTCTCGTATACCGTATCGTTTTTTCCAGTCTAAAATTTTTGTAATAATATAACATTTTTCATTCTTATTGTATGGAGTAATTGTCCATTAGGATACTAAAAACTCACTGTGTATGTCTAATTAGTTCCAGCTCTTACGACGTTGGATACCTTCAGCATTTTTGAAGATTTTTTCTATGTCAATCACAACAAAAGCTTTAACTTTTGGCTACTATTTCATATTTACTCTTAAGCACTTTTCGGCAAAAATGAACGGTTTTTTGCAATAACCAATTAACTGGTGCAACGAACAGGACATTCCCGTTTTGAAGGTGTTTTCATCCCTTTTACAAGTCTTTTCTATAGACTTATAACTTATAAATTTGATAAAAAAAGTTACCAAAATTTTTTTATTTCGAGATGACCTGTTTTGCATTCACTCGAAGGAATATATAAATCCTTCTGTACAATTTCTTTTACAACAGGGTTTACATTTGGCTTGCTTAAATGTATCAAAAAAGTAGTCCTAGTAGTTTTCCATATCCAAATGAATTAGTCAAATAGACAGAAAAATATCAAGCATAGTTGGGTAGATATGATTTGTGGAACTTCCACCAAAAACGTTGGGTGCCCCCCTTCCGTTTTGTGCTGGGTGCACCCTGGGCTCATAGCTGACTAAGCATGTACCAAGTCGGTGTTACTAAACTGACATAAAATGTTTAGAAATCATTTCATTTATTCTGAGCTGAATGGGGTTCAACTCTTTCCGTGGTTTTTGGTGGTTACATCAAGCAATTTGAGATTAGAAAAAAAGTTGACAAAGCGTGGTTTACAACTTTATTGAATGAAAAATATATTTCGTAAATTGCAGACGGATGCTAGATATCCCCACGATGAATAAATGCCCAAACATAAGTGAATTTGACCGAAAAATGCTTTCACTACCAGCGATGGACAATGAATTCATCCAAAAGGATTATCTATCTGGCAACACGGCTCTTATCTCTGGCCAAATAAGAACAGCACGTGTTTGGACGCCATCAGCGCTTTTTAGATGCCATTTTTTAGTTTTCTCATCTCTCTTTAATTCATTTGCCTTGTCTAACTTTCTTCTCTTGGTATAATTACTCTTTGTTGTAAGCAAATGTGGCTGATGGTGCCACAGTATGATCTGGTGGAATGTGTTAATCGATGTTTGTATCTAACATATTGGATATATTGGTAGGATGCTACAGTTTTGTGCTCAAGCCAGTCATGAGCAACTACCTCCTGATGTGCTTGAACCAGTTCTCAGAAAAATGGCTGACAATTTTGTAACAGAACGTAATACGTCTGATGTCATAGCTATTGGCCTGAATGCCATGAAAGAAGTATGTGCTAGGTGCCCACTTGCAATGACTGAAGACCTCATGAGGACCCTGGTGGACTTCAAAACACACAGGTAAGTTGTCTTACTATCTAGCAAGTAGATCAATAGATCGACCAACTTGGAACTGGAATTATGTTTCCAAATGTATGTGACATTGGATCTTTGGCGTAGCAAGTATGACTATAACAGAGTTTTACCACTCGCCATACCGGTTCATTAAACACCCGACAAGTGTGTCGCTAACTATGTAAGCACTTTCAGGGGAAGATTAAAATTAAAGTCTCAACCTAAATATTATCTAATTAAAACCGCAGCGGCATCACTAATCAAGTTTGTAGGAACGACACGTCACAACTACATGTCTGTTAGTTGTTAGGAATATGAGTACAACCCCTATCCTTGTGCATCACATTCCCTAACTGCTTAGCTATTTCTAAACTTCATATAAAAATAAATAAAATAAAAACAAAATATACTTCTAATTATAATAACAGTTTACTTCTTGTAACAGTAACAGTAAAAATATACATAATATATAAAGAGAAAAAGTGCAGGTATTCATTCTCGGACATTCTTTTACACTATATGGCTCTATATTAAGTCAGTGCCGACCGACCTTCCGTTTAAAAATGTTAATAAATCATATTGTCTGGCAAGCAGTTGAAAAATTCCAGACATACGTAATATGGATTCTATTCAATCTATGCCTAGGATAATTTACATTTAAATTTTCTAGTTTTTTTATGTATGATACACTTGTAGGAAAACATATCTGTATTCTTAAAAAAGAAGTTCAAACATTCATACATACGATGAGGCTCAAATTTGGCTGACATCGGAATGTGTACGAGAGAGAAACGTGCAATATGTATGCTAGAAAGAGTGCGCCGATGGCAACGCGGCAAGTCACAGCTGCGTTCGTGGCCTCAGCACTCGAGCTGCTAGGCAACGAAATGCGTCTAACTCTTTCTAATACACGTCTTCCATGCTTCTCGCACTTCTCTCTCGTACCCATTACATCGGTGGTATATGGATTTCACTGATAACCCGTATACTTTCAAGAGGTCTTTGAAAGTACCTTTACAACTATATACTCCATGTTACTATCCTAAGCACCCGTATTTATATAATAACGTTTCTCTAATGTACTATTGCTACCCCAGAAAATAAGTTCATACATAAGCACCGATTCAAAGTTAGCATACCATATGATTTTCACACTTTTTTCATTCATATACCTCACAACTACTTGTGATCTGATTTCTTTGAACTTGCAAGGTTGAGGAACCCCGAAGTGTTTCATTAAAAATATGTTTACTACATAACCGTTGATCCTAGCTACTCATTGATAGCCTTCCTTTTTCCTGAAAGCTTTCAATGCTTAGTTGGAAGTTGTTAAGACTGTGAACCAAAAAGTTAAAACTAGCCATTTTGTGTTAGTTACGCAGATGAAATCTTAGAAATAGCGAAGAGGTTAGGGAGTGTGATTAACAGGGACAGAAGTTATATTGCTAACAGTCTGCTGTATATTCTAGTGACAGTTGATACGCACTTGTGACGTAATAAACAGGTTTGGCAAGTGGTAACACTCTTTTGTACTAATAAATTGTGATTTTGCTAAATCTAGAACTGCCTGTTCAGGACAAAACTAATTTTATTGACCTACTACTGTACGTTTATATTCACATATTGATTGAGGTATGTGTCATTCCAAATATCGCATTTTTTTCCAGAGAGCGGTCAGTAATAATGGCTGCAAGGTCACTAATTCAGTTATTTAGAAACATAAGACCAGAAATACTACACAAAAAAGAAAGGGGAAAACCAACTGAGGCTATGGATGAGATAGAATCATTAAACTATGGCAAGGTAATTAGTAGTATTCTAAGAATGAACATAAGTAGAAGACTTGTTCCCAGAGTAGCTTTGGAATTATCTCCTTGAATTTTCATTATTTCCTAAGTAAGTAAACTATATGTATCGAGACACCATAAACCACTTAAGCATACGATCATATACGCTTCTATCACCGTCTTTAGGGGTCAACGTTGCCACCCTTCGGACTGCTGCCATGGGTTATGTAATTTTCTTTTCCGTCGTTGAGAAATTACGAGAATACGAAATCTTAACAATAATTACGAGCGAGGTTTAAAGGTGATCTTTCCTTGGAAGGTTCATTTCATGTTTAGGTATTAACAGTTTTCCATATAAGGATGATGGAGCCTGTTTTTATTACTCCTAAGTTAATTAGTGTGATCCCACCTGGCAACAGGCTATGGTGATTGAAAGAGGGCAGGTTAGCGCGTCGAGCTACTAATCGTCATGGTTTTTACGTAAAAAACCTATATTATGTAAAACAAATGTACAAAATGTCAACTTACTGACTAGATAGCTCGGAGTGTGCAAATAGTCCATTCCACCCTTGCTCGCCGTGAGCATCACCCTTAGCGTCACCTATGGAGAAATGACTCGACGACCACGCTGCAAGTTAGTTCACCAGCATGCTTTGTTGGTTGCAGAATGCCGAGATAGTGTATTTGAAACAAGAAACCAAGGGAATTATCATCAACACAGATTATTAGCACACAAATCCTCACTAAGCACCTATGCACTGCCGCTTCGCCCGTTTCCCTCCAGCTATAGAGTCATCGCAGGTCTGAGTTATATGCAGCCATGTAGGGAGGCATTCATCAACCTAGGGATCCTTACTCTTCCAGCTCTATATATATTTATCTGCTTATGTTATGTACACAACAATTTAGATCTCTACAAGACGCAGAGTGATATACATAGTTACAACACACGTAACATGCATAAGTTAGATATTCCTAAACATCGTCTACAAAGAACTAGTAACGGTTCTAACTACTATGGAATCCACTTCTATAATGTTCTTCCTGTGGCACTGAGAATGACTGACACCATCTCATTTAGGGATAGAATTAAAGCGTACCTTATCAGGAAAGCCTTTTACAACTTCGACTAATTTTTAAGTAATAACTTTTCGGTTCTCTAATGTTGGTGTTGTAGTGTGCTTGTTTACTTTTACTCTGTTTGTTAATTTGTTCGAATGTGCTTGTTCTATAATTTTGTATTTATTTTAAATTCATAATGTCTTTTTACAGTTTCTCTGTTAATGTTGTTCTTTTGAACAAATTTTATTGTTTTGTGAATTTACACTTTTGCTTTTCAAATTTTACTTTGACCTGTGTAAGCACGCAAATGTATTTAGCGCCAATAAAGCAATGATTGAATATAGTATACAACTTACAGCTTAGACCTCCAATAATGTCATATCTGAAGCAGATGTTACATCACATCAGAGCCAAAGCATGATAGCTCAAGCGCCATAACTTTTAGGCAATACGTACAGCTGCACAACGGGTACACATCAAGTAAACAACAGCTAGTTCCAAGTTGATATCTTTCAAGAAAACCTGCGTAATGTCGCAAAAAACCTATATAATGTCCAAAAAACGCCATAATGTCACTTTTTAAGAAACGTAATATCCCTGCGGTTCGAATCTCCGCCTCGGAAGTTAATTTCAAGCCATGGATGTTGTGTATTGTCTATATCGCGCACCAGATCGGTGCAAGTTCAACATAGATACATCATACGAAAGGGTCAAAGGTAGCTTAGTTGCGAGGCTTCGGCTCCTCACCACTACTACTACATGGTGATTGAAAATTATATTTAAATATACAGCGCGTTGGGCTTTTTTTTGGAGGAAACGTTAATCAATTATAATAATCAGATCATATCACTCATTTTGTGTATTATTGCAGTTAAGGAAATTCCCCATTCGATCAGTTTTCTTGAATTTGGTATTATTTAAAGTGTTTACATCCATTCATTATCTTTGTAGATTGAGGCTAAAAACTATGTGCCAGGTGCTGAGGTTCTAATAGAAGATCAGAAACCTCAAGAAGATTCTGCCTCAGAGTCAGGATCTGATAGTGAAGGAGGGTGGGTTGATGTGCAACATTCAGATGATGAGACTTTAGGAGATATGGAAGAAGATAGTGATGATGAGGAAGACAATGAGGACAATAGTGATTCTGAATATGATGCTGTAGCAGAAGGTATTGAAGAACAGCAAACACAAGAAGGCAGTAGGAAAAGTCAAGAAAATGAAGAGAATAAAGAATGTATAGCCGATAAAAATACATCAAGTGTTGCAAAACTACCCAAACAAAAGAAGAAAGAGGTAGATTTGAAAGAAAAGAAAGAGCTTGCTCACAAAATCACCCTGGAAAGAATCTTAACAGACGAAGATTTCAAGCGAATAGATGCAGCAAATGTCAGGAAGCAGATGCAAAGTGCAAAGAGAGGTATAAAACGGAAACTAGAAGAAAAGCCTGCAGAGAAAGCGTCAGAACTTGTCAAACTTAGTGACATAGAGAACATATACAAGAAGAGAAAACACGATAAGCTAGCAAGAATTGAGAGTGTTAGGAAAGGACAAATAGATAGAGAGAAATTCGGGTACCAAGATAGAAGGGCGAACGAATTTTGTTCTAAAACCAATAGAGAGAAAAAGAAGAAGAAGAATTTCCAGATGATGCGGCATAAGGCGAGGGGCAAAACGAAGAGGAGTTTCAAGGATAAACAGGTGGCGCTCAGGAATCATTTGCTAAAGTTGAAAAAGATGAAATAAAACTAAGAATGTATGGGATGTTATCTATTTTCTTTTTTAGATTTTATTATAAGTGTCCTACACCTGCGCTTCCTACCCTTTATACTGAGCATAAGTTGTATATTACAACATGGAAAAACTATAGAGGAGCTTAGAAGGAAAGAGGGTGAAGTAGTTGTAAGTTTTTTAACAATTTCCGTGCAGAATAAAAAATATACCATGACGGCATCAAAATAATAACGGTGCTTCCAAAGAAAATCTTATTTGTAATCTTGAGTTTGGCCACAGCAGCACTTCAAGGTCAAAGAAACAATCAAAGTCGCCATCAATTATTAGAGCTTGTTCCAAATTCAGCCGCTGTGATAAGCACTAATAAATAATCTTGGGATATTTGACGAAATGAACCACTCCCCTCGTATCCACTATAAAATGTTACAATACATTTCTAAATTTGTGTAAATACCTCAATTAATTAAAAAGCAAAATTGTATTAATGTCAAGGATCATTTAAAAAGGTCAATTTCTAATCACAGTATATGTATATACCATAAAAGCATAGGCGCCACGTGATCAGGTTTCATTTGGAAGGAATTATAAATATATTGCGGGCCATCACGATCTAAAATCATGGCAAAAAATGTCGTAGTCGTTCATGATCAGTCCAAATAGTTTGACGTCGCGTGTACTTCTATTCTCACGTGCTCTACTGTTCGAGCAAATCCCAGATAGAGTAAAACATAACGTGAACATCTCTTCACGTTCATTGATGAATTCGATATCGGCTGCCACTATGACACTTTAAAATTAGGTGTTCTACTAACGTAATGTTATAGTACAGATACCACAGACTAGATATCATTTATTAACGTACTAGTATTTCGCTTTGCATTAGTGTGAAGGAGAAATTCTAATTTCAAAGTAATGCAATAGTTATTTTAGCGATGGACATTACTTATTCAACACTTTAATGCAACAATAAACTAATTTCAAATGTCTAATCACAGTAATGCTTAGAGTCATGTAACAATTGTATGAATAGTATTATTCGAGAGGATTCGCTGGACAAATGATCAGTCCGCCTCTCCGTCTTCAACTATTAGGGCACCAGCGGTCTAGGTCCTCACGTACCCCTCGATGGTAATGTAGTCTAGCACCATCATGTTGGTATAACAAATATCTCCTGGTTGTTAAATTTGCATTCTCTAGTAAAAGAGGTAGATCGTTCCTTAAAAACACATTGTTCATTTCACCTGCTGATGCTGCTCCTTGGAGATAGTAATAATAATTTGATCACTAATGATGTCAGCCCGCTCAAGTTTAGGTTGTCCTTTTTGTAATAGTCAGATGGCGAAAAGCGTTTCAGCATAGGTTGGCCACCTTGAATTAAAACTAGTCTATTCATATTAGCAAATTTCCCCAGAATAATTGTAAAGTCTGGTTTTATTAACGCAAGTTGCTGAAAGGGGTATTTAAGACATGGACGCATAAAATGTGGGAAAACTTTTTATTCGACAACAAAGAATAAGAAAAGTGTTTTTTTTTTGTATCAATCGAAAGTGTTGGCAGCAGTGATGGGCGTTCACGCGTATACATTAATAATTGTCTGCGTATACAATGATGAAGACAATAATCAAATCTAAGCGAATAACCAAAATTTCTGTGTTATGTGCCGCGGTTATAATATGGTTCAAGATGACACACGGGTTGATGACGTAAGTTACACGAATCGCTTGAACGCGTTGGTTTTAACCGCGGTTTTGTTGCAAGTTGTTTATTTTAGAAAAGCGCGTATATAATCTCTGATTATTTTTATTATCGCTTTTTCGTCTACAACTGTATATGGAAAGTTTAAATAAGAAACCTTTCATAATATTCATGGGAGAAATGTTTTTTCAGATTTTTTTTTAATGATGGAACCATGGCTTTGTAGCTATGATAACTTTCAGTTCTCTAAATTTTTCCGCATGTCAAAGAAAACATTTATTGATTCAGCAGAAATGATGAAAAAAGAAATTAGCAAAACCGTATACAGGTGGATATCATCTAGTGAGTTTATATGGCCATATTTTAATATTCTTGTGGTATATGGCTACACAGGATACTTAGTTAAGCATAGGAACTACATTTAAAGTGTCCCCAACAACCGTAATGAGTATAACTAATAAGGTGCTCCACTTTATGGTAAAACTGAAGTCAGCCTGTATCATTTGTCCCAAAAATGAAGCTGAAGTACAATAACAATATCCAATACCCGGCAAAATTCTAACTTGTCACATTTCAAATAATAACCAGAAATATAAAACTACTCTTGAGTTGGGTAAATACCACAATTTTGCGGTGATAACTATGACATATAACAGCTGATTCGTGACGTCACGGATCTTATAACCAAACTGATAACTACACTCGCTTGAACGGATTGGTAAATACCAACCCAAAATGGTAAATACCATTTCCATTTGGTTATCCGCTTGAATTTGATTAATGTATAGAATAGCATAAGTGAGGTTAGGCTTATTCGCAAACGTCAGAAAGTTGGTAAACAGTGAACCGACAACTTATAAAACATCTGGTTGGACGCTCCAAGAAAAAAGAAATCGATGAACTAGAGTTCATTTGTTGTTCTTAATTTATGTAAAACTGTATATTTGTATACGTATATAAATAAATATATATTTTTTCATTATTTATAAACTGCTTCCACAGTCAAACCAATAATGCAATGTTGCAGAATTTGTATCTATCCTGAACTTTCAGTTCCACCCAAAATCGGAGAACCCTTAGGATCGATCTGGAATTGATCCCAATCAGATTCGACAGAAATGTGTATTTGAGCGTAGAAAACAAGGCGTTGCAGTTGTGTTCTGTGGCCTTCATCACTGTTGTGCCAGGCAACGTGGTGTGTGGCGCACTCAATCTACACAAGTGGTGCCCTCTTGTCCCCCCCCCCTCTCTCTCTCTCTCTCTCTTCCTCGTACACATGGAAAGAGAAAGGGACATTCGCCACTACTTCGCACTATTATATATGCAAGTAGTATAAGATTTGCTATTCTATACATTTATACGTGAATATCGTATATATTCACCATTGTATACGCCTATACAATGGTGTATTATACATGGTGTATACAATGCGTCCATCACTGGTTGGCAGGAACGAAAAAACTCTTCAAATAAGATTTTTAAGAATTAATAAGATCTACTAATCGAGACCACATGTAAAAAGATCCTACTATTAGCAAAAACGTTATGGCCGAAAAACGAGGCAAAATGCAGGTTTTGGCACTTGTTGGTAATGAGACGATAATTTCACGCAACTACTTTTAATTCTTCAAATCCGTATTATTCATGCTTCTAAGGCAGTTTTTGAGAATTTCTAATTGTCTATCCAAAAACACCTGTTTTCCGGATATCACTACTAGTTTATTGAGCAATATACAGGGTTCGTTCAAAGGGCATTTAATAGCAAAATACACGAGTTTAACCTGTCGATATGAATCACAAACCATTCCGAAAGATTAATATTTTTATGCGGAAAACAAAGGGTTACGTTTTTTTCTTCTGAACAAATTCAAACATTTCGTATTTGTGAATAATTGAACAATAGCGCCACGATATTCGAAAAACATACGTTATTATAAACATTTTAAGACAAAGCAGATGTATCTATCACCTTTTGTTGCAATTACCCACAAATACGAAATGTTTGAATTTGTTTAGAAGAAAAAAACGTAACCCTTTGTTCTTCGCATAAAAATAACATTTATCTTTCGGAATGGTTTGTGATTCATATCGGCAAGGTTAAACTCGCGTATTTTGCTTTTAAATGCCCTTTGACCAAACCCTGTATATCAGGGCTGTCCAACATACATGTATACATCACATGTACAAATTACTCTCAAATACCGAATATGCACAATTCTTACATTAACTCTGTAATAATGTTGTATAGAAAGATTTTATAATGCGGCCCTCCAAACTACATTTTTTTTTTTGAAGTGGCCCTTGGGCCACATTAAGCTGGACAGCCATGCTGTATATTGTTCAATAAACTAGTAGTGTCCGGAAAACAGGTGTTTTGGTATAAACAATTAAAAATTCTCAAAAACTACTTGACCAATCTATTCCAATGTTGTTGTGGTTATTTAGAAGCATGAATCCTACGAATTTAAATAATTTCAAGTATCTGCGTGAAACTATCGTCTCATTACCAACAAGTGCCAAAACTTGCACTTTGCCTCGGTTTTCGGCCATAACTTTTTTGCTGTTAGACGGATATTTTTACGTGAGATATCATTCTGTAGGTCTCATAAATGTCTAAAAATCTCATTTGAAGAGTTTTTTTTCATACCAACACTTTCGATTGAATCCAAAAAAACACGTTTTCTCATTCTTCGTTGTCGAAAAAAAAGTTTTACCACAAAAATTGGTGTACCCTTTTTATGTATCCATCTTTTAAATAACCCCTCGAACAACACTTGCAGCAATAAAACCAGAATTTACAATTATTTCGTAGGCCAGGGGTATTTTCGTCTAATATGATTAGACTAAAGACCGTAAGCTGTTAATCACATGAAAGCATGAACTAAAATGTTGTACTCCACTAAGCAAGAATAAAGTAGCCATCTGTCATTGTGGTTCTGAGATCCCCTAGGCTATATTAAACAACAGTGATATATGGTCCTTCGACTTAAACATAATGGGGCATCATGTTACCCAGGTTGCTGAAACAACGTGGTTGTAAAAAAATACTGGATCTGGGATCAAACATCTGGGAATCAACAGAACTATTTGGAATGTATTACAACAATTTCACACTGAATGCCTGCCTTGGGTTAAGATGAGTCTTGCACGAAAAAAAAATCATTGTTTACTTGGAATATCTGATTTTAAGTCTAAATGTAGAATTTTTTTTTCTTGGAAGTAATAGCAATAACTCGAGAACTGTTCGCAAAAAGTGGTATAAACCACACCATACTTATATCAAAAAAATATATATATTCAATGATGTAGAAATGTACAGGGTGTTAAATTTGAAATTTATGAGAAAAAGTACATTTTGCGTTTTGAGATACCCTGTAAAAAATAGAAAGATATTTTAGCATTCTAAATGTAGGGTCTATTTGAAAAATACATGTTTGCTATGACACGAAGTTACGGAACGCCCTGTATGTCTTAAAATATGCACTAAGTAACATAACAGAATTATCAAACAGATTTTTGATATCCTTTCCAGTTTGCTCATAAAACTACTCTCGATTTTTGTTGGGTACAACACTGATTAATTCTCAAGTCTGTCGGGCCGTTGTCCACTCGCACTGAAGTAATCTTTGCAGGTGCGGCACATTGCTATAGTGGCGCGATGCTGGGCCTTGTACTATTACAACGTAAGGGATATGTAACAACATAACTCCGCCATCCCTTAGAAGGATCTCTTTGGTGCAGATACTTGAGTTCCGTCCACCCTTGTAGCAATGTTCTGGGGTTCTTTCTTCATTTTCTTGAACAGGTGCCATTTGGCAAAAATTGTTTAGCTGATCTCCAAGAGGGCAACGACTGAGATAATACCCAAAGACGATCTTGAGTAGATTTTCTGGAAGTGGACATCTAAACTTTCTTCTTCGGAGTCTTGTAGTTGGATTTGGTGTAGCTTGTCTAGGGATACTTTTTCTAGAACAAGCTTCTTGACTAGGAATCTTGGTAACCTAACTCCTTTGATTTCTCCTAAAGAAATCAGGTGTTCGATTATAACTCCTTTTTTATTTTTGTACGTGAGTTTCGGTGTCGTAATGTAACAGTCTGCAGGAACAGTAATTACGTATGAACCTCGCAGAATGGATACTTTTTCTTCTACACAGTTCATTTTGATTTTTAAAGGCTAAGGGAATATGTCAATGTAGTGGGCGCTATCGATTTCTTCAATAACTTGGCGAGTCGTGTGGACAGGCACTTGGTGACAATTCTGGGCTTCCATTTTCATCGATAACAGGGAAGTCACACAATCTGCCTTTTCATGCATGGGCAACAGGTCGTTCTTCTGGCAGAAGTAGTGGTCTTGAAGATCCAAACATGCTTTGTCGTCGCATTGATAGTGCTCGTTGCTCAGTGTAAGAAATGTCGAAGGGGGTATGGTATGAGAATTGTATTGTTCACGTTTGGAAGAGAAAATAGATGAAAATGTACTGAATGTGTCGGGATGTACTAGCGGAAACTAATGAGAAAATTAATCCATAATTTATCAAAATCACTTTGGTTTCGACTAAGTCATAATATTTGAAAAAAAATTGTAAAGCGAACATATTAAGATGATTATGTGATTGAGATAATACATTGATTGTTTCAACGAGCTGCTTAGGAGAAACAATACTATGATGCAAAATCCCAAGACTTGCAAAACTGATAGCGTTTTCAATATTGGGTAAAAAAGATAAGATAGAATTCTTAAGTGAATTTTATCTGATATTGATTTTTGGTTATCGATTACTGTAGTGATAGTTTTATTGACATATCCTATCAATTCGTTGCTCAAAGAAAAATGTTTAATTTATTTTTCGAACAATTTTGTTTTGGCTACACATTTACTCTTGCTGTTTCTAATTCAATCGGAAGAACTTGGGACTCTCGTTGAGGCTGACAATTTGGACTTTCTGTTTCAGTGCGGTTTAAAGCGTCACCAACCTGTAAAAAGTCACCTTGTCACTTTATGATATGTATTTTGAGGTGTCGTTACCATTGGGCAGTTTGTCGCTAAAATATGTTCCGGTCTATAAAGCGGTTTCTTATAACCGGTGGTTCCGGTGTCAATTAAGAGCTTTAAAGGAGGGTTTGTAATTTGAATACGAGGGATATCTTTTAAGTTTTGCATATAGAAAAATAGTAGGCTGCGCGGATCGAATGTCAGTACTGAATCTTAACCTCACTCTTTAGTAAACTTAAATTCAAAGTTTCACAACAATACGTGCAGTGTTCTCACTACAGTGAATTTTTAAGTGTCACCAAGTCGTTAGAAAAATGTAACTCAACCGAGAACATTTTCGCGCCATAATTTATTACAACTTTCAGAGACAATTGTCGCAACAAGAATGCTTTGCTGAGTTAGTGTCTGTTTTCGACAACGAAGCGCCACATCAGTCGACAATTTCCCGTTGGTATGGAGAATTCAAACGTAGACGGGTAAGTCTTAGCGACGATCTCAGGGTGGGTGCACCAAAAACGGCTCTCACTCAGGAAAACGTCGATGCTGTGCGCAAACTCATCATTGAAGTTAGACATGTGACATATCGCGAGATTGAGGCGTCCTTGAAGATCTCAAAGACATCAATTCAAAAAAAAATTACATGAATAATTACCAGTAAGAAAATTAGTTTCTCGTTGGATACCTCACCTGTTGACTGAAAAACAGAAAGCAGCCAGGGTTAATTGGTGTCAAAAACGCTTGACCGTTTCAATTCCGGAAACTTAAAAAATGTGTACAGCATTGTTAGTGGTGATGAATCGTGAATTTACTGTTATGAACCAGAAAATAAACGACAGTCGGCTGTTTGGGTGTTCCAAGGTGAAGAAAAGCCTACAAAAGTCATCCGTTCTCGAAGTGTTTCGAAAAATATGGTCGCGACATTTGTGTCAAAAGCGGGTCATATTGCAACAATTCCTCTTATTGAGCAAAGAACTGTTACTGCGGATTGGTATACCACCACTTGTTTGCCAAAAGTCATCGCCGAGCTTCGAAAAATCAACCCCGAAATAAGAATCATCCTCCACCAAGACAATGCAATATCGCACACAGCCTAAAAAACAAGGCAATATTTAACGGAAGAAAACGTGGAATTATTGGACCATCCTCCATATAGTCCCGATCTAAGTCCTAACAATAAAGTCATTTAAAACTACCTACCGTGTTGTTTTATTTCCATATGCAAATCTTAAAAGACATCCCCAGTATAGAGGCAATCTTTGTGTTCATAAATATGATAGATTTCTAAGTGGGTGTCATTTCAGACTCGACAGGTCGAACATTTTTGGTCCAGAACGTCTAAAGTAATTTTGATTTGGTCGGGAACAGTACCATGAGAAACTCCACTCATTGGGGTAGGCCGTGATTGTTGTTGAGATGGATTGGGTCTCCAAACATTTTTAGGTGGGACAAAAACTTATCTATTGGTTGGATATTTTTGCGGTGGTGCTGGCTTAGGATGTATTGAAATTGAACCACGCGGAAATTGTTGAGAAGTTTGGTTGAATGGATTTTTAGAATGCTAAGAAAAATTTGGCCTTTGGCCTATTTTGGGAATTCGGATAAAATTGTGGTCCCTGATAATGTGGACCAAAGAATGTTTTGGTTGGTGGTTTTGTTGATTTGGACGATCTTTGTTATTGTCAAAGTGAGGTTTTCTTAAATGTAAATGTAATTCTCAGAAATGATAAATTGACGTACTTCGGCAAGAGAATTCGGCCTCATAGCTTGAACCGTAGAGCCTAAAGGCTCATGCAAGCCAGCCAAAAATATTCGAAGTGCATGTGTATTGGATTTTTTTTGACCTTTTTTAATAAATTCTTAAAATGATAGTTATATTCTGTGCACAATTAGCGTTACTTGGGTTGGTATCCCAATAGGTACTATTTAACGTGTTAGCAGTTCCCAAAAATGCGGCTAACTCTAATGGGCTTCCGTCATATTAGGGAACGATGTAGAAAATCTGAGGCTAGTTTCCAAAACTGCCTGAAATTGCTCGTTTGAAATACTGAAGCTATACTTGACATCACTATTTTCCTGTCCGGAATTAGGAGGCGAGGATACTGATATAGAGAAATATACAGAAACTAGTTCAATAAGGGACAAGTGAGCATAAAATGAGCAACTTAACACTACGATGAGGGTGCTGATCGTCATTCTTCTTGCTTATCAGAATATTGAACATTCGCTCTGGAAAGGCCATATCCTGCCTGTACTTTCTCCCTAGCGATCTCCTCTTCGTCATATGGCTACCGTTATCCTCGATGGATGGCCTCGTAGGGATGGTAGAATCGATCCGGGATGACTGTGCCACTTACATTTTTTTAAGTTACAATGCAAAGATACAATACTTGAACTGTATAATAAAATAACATGTATATCGTTGAAAGTCTATCTCAAGTCTGACGGACCTTTGTCCACTCGCACTGAAGTAATCAATATACGTTCAGCACATTGTTATCGTGGGGCATGTTCTATTACATCGTGAGGGATTAGTAACAACAGAACTGATTAGTTATGTTACTGTATTTCGCTTATACGAGTATGGGCATGCAACGAGCCCAGCATCACGTCTTCACTGGGAATGTGCATAGTCGACTTCCGTGGAATTTGTACGATTTACATGTATTTTTCATTGTTCTACTTTTGTTATTGTATTCAATAAAAGTATTTTAGAAAAAGTCAAATATAAAATGATTTAAAAAGTCTAATTTCGAAAGTCGAAATTTAAGTGGCGCAGTCATCCCGGATTCAAACATACCACTCCTACGAGGCGATACATCGAAGATATCCGTAGAAACATGACGAAGAGGAAATCGCTAGGGAGAAAGTACAGGCAGGATAGGGCTTTTCCAGTGCGAAGAGGTCCACTGTGCTCAATGCAACTTTCGGTTCAACGTTCCGAAGAAGTTAAGAAGAACGAAGAATGAAGATTCGTGATCTAAGTTCCTTTTCCATTGTTGTTTCCTTATTGCACTTGATATATGTTGACTATGTCAGTCTTCCCGTGTCCTAATTCCGTGCAGGAGAATAGCGAAGCTGAATTTAATTTATATTTCAAAAGAAGAATATCAGGCAGTTTTGGATTCGGACACTAGCCTTGGATTTTGCGCTTTAAGGCGGCTCCGACGCAGTGAGTTTCAAGCCATTTACAAGGGTTCAGCTGCTTCAAAACTGACACTCCATTTTTCAATATTTTTGAATGAAATTCGTACAGTATGTTGAGAAGATAATTGCCCAGGGTGCTATAGGAGCAGTTTTTGAAATTTTGTTTTTGCACAAGTTTTATGATGGGTTGAAGTGCGTACTTTTTCTGTTTGATAAGAACCTAGTGAAAAAATGAAAAAGTGGATCTATAGCACCCTGTGGGGTTTTGTTTTCAACACTCTGTGAAAATTGCATTCAAAAATATCAAAAAATATAGCGTCAATTTCGAAGCGCGCAAACCTCGACAAATCGTATTTTGAACGAATTTTGTCTACTGTTTCGTACTGCCAACCCAAGCGTTGCGGCGCAATGTACGGACTAAGGACGTATTCAGATAATTTGGTGGCCCTATTTCAATAATATCGCGTAGATAAGTCGTTCTGCAAATAGGTATTCATAATCGTGATCGCTGATACTCCTCGATTTTAAATCCGTTTTACTTCCCGCGTCATTGGGGAGGAAGTATTGTAATCGCGAAAAATTTCTAAAATGAGATGTTATGTTTTTTTAGTCATATGACATCTACATCACGAAAAACTGTATCACTCGGATTTTATGAAATTTCCACACGCGGTTACTAGTATGCCAAAGCTACTTTGTCCAGTGGCAACGGTGCTATAGACAAAAAAGGAAAAGTAACAATTGCTGAAACTCCGTTTTTGACGTTACAGGGGTTCCTTATCATTGACAGAAAAAAATTGTACTGCTTAAAAAGTGCGGGTTGGGGGAAGGTGATCCTGAATGTTGTATCTTTGATATCAGTGAAACACGTTCTATTATTAAGAAGCTTCTGATCCCAGTGATTACAGGAAATTTAAGTAACGAAAATCCGACGAATAATGTGCTCACGATTTGAAAAAATCGGTACCTGCTCTTTAGGTTTGACACCAAGAGCCAACAGATCTATCTGCAACTGCCGACAG